AATAAAGACATTGTAGGGACAATGTAGCAAATATAATCAATTGATGAATTTGAATATAAAGAATTGTTATATTGGAGAAAAATAAAGACAATATAACTAATGAAATTATTTCTCTTATTTAATTTATTGATAATTAATATTTTTGTTTAATAAAGGCATTGTAGACACATAATTCTAAATTAAAGAAATGTATATGTATTATTTTTTGTTGTAGCTACTAAATTATTATAATTTAATATAAGTAAAATAGAATATTAATTATGCCAACTTTGATTGGGATGTGGCCTTGGTTCGAACCTAAGAGCTTTCTTATTGAAATCAATGAGTAAGTTAACGGTGAACTAACAAAAATTAACGAAAAAGATAATATTTAACTGAAAAGTTAACGGATAATCATATAATTAAGGATAAATTAGAAAATCTCATGGAAAAATTAATATCTGATCAATCTGAACCATTCATTTGATTAAAAAATTTGACCGTCATTTTTTCTACCAATTATAGGTCTAACTCCTCTTTCGCTCTTATTAGTATAGTAAATACTAGATATATTTAATAGTGTAAATTGTTGAATGTTGAATATAATTGATGATGATTTCAATTATTTAAAATATTATACGAATACTTTGTTAGAATAAAATATGATAAATAGATATAAAATTTTAAATAAATTAACAATCTAATGGTACCCAGGTTGGACTTTCATTTGGAAGGTTATAAGTTCCAGTCTTGGTGGAGGCGTTATTGGTTTTTTGTGTTTCAGTAGGTTGAGAAAGTATATGAACATATACTACATTGTAATAGAGCCAGTAGCATTCAAAAAAAAAAAAAAAAAAACAATCTAATTACGAATTGTATGTGAAATTATTGTAGTTTTTTATTTATTATGATAATATAATTAAAAAATTAGTTTTTAATACTGAATATTTATTTAGTTGTGCAATGCATTTCATTTAACTAGTGTTATGAGAAGGATGGGATATCGCATCATCCGCATGATGGTTTCTTCTTGTACCTAAAAAAATCTAATTGCAAAATGGAATTCGTAACTTCCAAATGAATCAATTTGGACGCGTGTCAAAAGAAGAAACCCAAGACCGTTACACGTAATTCAAAAAAGCTCCAACAATTATACGTGGACCATATATGGTCCAAAATGACAGACACGGATTGTGTATCTAAACTGACACTTTCTAATGAAAACATAGATGGATTCATCGTGCAATGCGATTATGGTATAAGAAGTTTTAGATTTGTCTTGTTATGTATATGATGAGATCTTAGTTGTACTATTAACTCTTTATCTTACAAGCACCTATTGATATTTGGTAGTGGTAGTTTTTCCTCTACATGTTTCATGTGTTGTGAGATGTGTATCACGCTTTGCGCGAATAGAATAATGACCAATGATTATTTTTAAATAAGTATTTCAAAATATATCGATGCAATATTATATTGGAGATGTTCATGCATAGATAAATAAATATTGAATTTGTTTATTTAAATCGATCATTTAATGTATATAAATGCAAGATAATATATGAGAGATTGATTATAATTGTCACTAAAATAAATGTTTGCAACTTTGTAATAACGATAGTCCTCTTTTTTCTTAATTCTCTTTTGGGTAACATTGTCATTGTCTTCATTTTTCAGTACATGTCCTTTTCTTTTTATTGATAGTGTGTCATGTGCAATTGGGTCACTGGTGGTAGCATAGATAGATTCATCGTGCAATGAGATTATGATGTATGAAGCTTTAGATTTGTCTTGTTGTGTATACCTAAGACTTTTCTTATAGAAATTAATGAGTAAGTTAAAAATAATAAATAGTTTACTAAAGTTTATAGTAACGGAATTTAGGTTATTTAAGGAAAAAAAAATATATAATAGAGGGTAAATAAGGAAAATCATTTAAAAAAAAACTAAAATCAAAATAATATGAACCATTCATTTTAAGAAACAATACTACCCACATTTTTTTTGTTCCAGTTAAGGGCCTAACATTATTGGCTCTTATTAGAATTGTAGATATTATCAAATGAAACTGCAATTGAATTGAAATGAAACTATAGTTGTGTTGAAATAAAACTGCAGTGTATACAAAATGAAACTGAATAACAATTTCACATATTTGAATGTATATTGTCCATTAAAACAGTAGTTATATCAAAATGATACTATTGTTGTGTTGAAATAAAATTACAGTGCATATTTAATGCCTAGACCACAATACATTGTGAACCGCGGTCCACAGTATAATTTGCCAAAAAGCTCCCCATGCTTGTGGCACAGGTACGATGTCCGCTCCGATTGGACAATTTTGGAGGTTTGTTTTTGTTTTTGTTTTGTTTTGTTTTTTTTTTTTTTTTTTGATTTTTGTTTTTTGTTTTGTTTTTTTTTTTAATTTTTTTTGCATCTCGTTAGCTTGCAATTAATTTGTGTAGTTTTTTTTTTAAATTTTAAAGAAATTGTTAAATTTTTTAATAAAAGTTTAATAAATATATTAATAAATTTATTACAAAAACTTATTTTTATGAAAATAAATAATTAACAATTTAAAACAAAAAGAAACTTATTATAAATTATTATATTATGAATTTAAATTTATGAATTGTTTTTATTTTTAAAAATTTTAAATAAAAAAATTTATTTATATATGTTAAGAATATTCATATGTTACATTATGTTTTCCAAATGAAATTTAAAATTTGATATTTAGACTTATAAAATGATGTTTTAAATTTATATTTATAATAGGGAAAAGGGTCAAATAGACCCCTGAACATTACTCAAAGAGTCAATTAGGCTCTTGAACTTTCAAAATGTGCAATTAAGCCCAAACATATTATTTTAGAGCAATTGGGCCCTAAAACCGGTTGGTTACCTACAATTACCGGTCAAAATGATTCCGGCGAACTTCCGGCTAACCTCCGACAATATTCCGGCCAAAAAACCGGCGAATAGTTCGCCGGCGTCATTTGCTGCCATCTCCGGCGAACTCCTTCGCCGGAGAAGGCAACCCAACCCTTCTCCGGCAGCTAGAGAAGGAGCCGTGAAAGAGAAGGCAGGGTTGCCTTCTCCTTCGCAACCAACTGGAGAAGGCAACCAACTCGTTGCCTTCTCCGGCAACTGGAGAAGGCGAGCAGATGGGTCGCCTTCTCCAGTCGCCGGAGAAGGGGTTGCCTTCTCCCGTGAAGGAGAAGGCAACCCAGTCCTTCGCCGGATCTGTTCGCCTTCTCCTTCGCGAACCATCGGTCTCCTTCGCCGGATCTGGTTCGCGAAGGAGAAGGCGAACAGATCCGGCGAAGGACTGGGTTGCCTTCTCCTTCACGGGAGAAGGCAACCCCTTCTCCGGCGACTGGAGAAGGCGACCCATCTGCTCGCCTTCTCCAGTTGCCGGAGAAGGCAACGAGTTGGTTGCCTTCTCCAGTTGCCGGAGAAGGCAACCAGTTTGGTTGCCTTCTCCGGCGAAGGAGAAGGCTTCTCCTTCGCCGGAGAAGGCAGACGCCTTCTCCTTCGCCGGAGATGGCAGCAAATAACGCGACGTTCGCCGATTTTTTGGCCGGAATGTTGTCGGATGTTCGCCGGAAGTTCGCCGGAATCGTTTTGACCTGTAATTGTAGGTAACCAACCGGTTTTAGGGCCCAATTGCTCTAAAATAATATGTTTAAGGGCTTAATTGCACATTTTGAAAGTTCAAGGGCCTAATTGACTCCTTGAGTAATGTTCAGGGGTCTATTTGACCCTTTTCCCTTTATAATACAAATGTGCTAATTTATTAAAATTAAAAATGTTAATTTTAAAATATTAAAAATTTTAATTGAGACCTAAAATCTTAATTGAGACCTAAAAAATTTTAATTGAGACCTAAATTAAAAATTAAAAATCTTGAAGTTTTAGGACAAAAAAAAAAAAGAAAAAAAAAACATTAACTTGATAAATAATCAACCTAATAAACCTAAAATCCATAAGCCCAATAGCCCAATATGACTGACTTAATTAACATCTGTACTTCACAACGCCTTAGTTTGTTACCTACAAAAGACTATAAATCCAGAATACGTCAATACATTAAAAAAAAAATCAATACTTGAATACAATTTTTTTTTTTAAAAAAATGATATTAGTAAAATACATATATTTTAAATTATATTACATATACAAAATTAAATTATAAAAGTAAAAACTAGAGAAGAACTTAATCTTACCTAGGTGACTTGTTCTAATTACTTAATTAATAAATAACTAATAAAGATAAAGGTGTTTAAACCTTATTATGGCCCTATTTGGTATGGTAACGTAGTTGATAAGTCTAATTTGACAAGTTTAACCCGTTAATAGACTATTTAAGTGTTTTGTAAAATGACTTATTGTATAAGTAGCTTATTAGGGTAATAAGTCGAAATCTAAAAAAACTAAGAAGAGTAGAGTTTTGGTTAGCTGATTGGTCTTAATTATGAAATGACCATTTTATCTTTGTCATCCCTAAAATTTATATCTCTCCTTGTTGTTCATATGCCTTTTTTCTTTTTTCTTTCTGTTTTCGTAACAACAATAATAATATATTTTTACCAAGTGGCTTGTAGTTCACTGGTATTGGTTTGCTTTCCTAAGTTGGAGGTGATGGGTTTGAACCTCGGTTGAGGCAAGTAGTGTGTATGTAGGGTATCCCCTTTTTTTTTTTTATAATAATAATATATTTTTTCTTTTTTATTTCACTTGTCCGTAGTAATAGTATTACTGTCAGCTGGTCAAATCAACTACCTCAATCAACTATAAGCTATTAGCTAACTTAATTAGTTATTTGCCAAACACCACTACAATTCATTTTATTTAAAATAAGATTCAAAGCACATAATTTAATATATAATTCCTTTTTTTTTCAATTAATAAAATATGACACTGTAGACTCTTCCTTCAAAGTTTCACCTGAATATTTATCTGTTTTAGTAGTCCAAGTTTCAGTGCCGAACGATACACGGCATTATCAGGTGAATACACACATGTCAAAACCCTGTGGCCTGTGACATTTGTCATTTACTTTGTCCTCTTCTCACTTCCAACAAAAAGACTCATTTTTTTTTCATTTCATTTATGCTTTGAGCTTATTTTGCAATTCTTTCATTTTCTCTTCTGCATTTCTGTGTTAAAGTTGAGTTGTTGGGAGATGGGTTGGAAGTACGAAGCTGGTTTAGTTGTGATTGCCATTTTTGTGTTCATATGGGTTGCTTCTGCTGAGACTACACAGGTTTTCACTTTAATATAATTTCTGCTGTTTTGGTAACTTATTTATAACTATTAACACTGCAATTTTGTATTTGATGAATTCATATCTGCCTCTGTCTTATCTCTGATGAATTCACAGTGGTTTTCTCTTTCCATGACATTCAAAGCCTTCAATTCCTAATTTATAGTACCCTGAATTATTAATGCTTGGACTGCATATTTATTATTATTTATATATTATATACTTACCACATATCTTAGGCAATTCTTATATGGTTGACTATAGAGGTGGCCACGGACCGGTCTAAGGTTAAATCAATTCTGAATTAGCTCGAAAAAAATGAGTTTGGGCTTTACCGAGCTTGGGTCAGACTTAGTCCAAACCTGAACTGGCTTATAGAGGGTCGGTTTAGGACCTATAAAATAATAGCCCGAACCCCAGCTCAAAACCAACCTTGGCCCAGGTCCCTAACTAGCCCAGGCACAGCCCAAGTTCAAGCAAAATCTAGCATGGACTTTATAAATTGTAATACACTTTATAATATTTATAAGTTATCAAATAAAATTACAAGTCTTAAAAAATTTAATAGTACAAGTTCAAATATTATTAAAGTCTTATACATTTTTTATTTTGTAGAAAGTCATATTAATTTTTTATTTTGAGATTAATGATCAAAATATTATTTTAAACAAAAATATAAACTTTAAAAAGTGTGTGTGTGTGTGTGTGTATGTATGTATGTATGTATTAGCATTATTATACGAAATGTTAAAATTGTTTAAGTGGTAAGAACATTCGTTGTTAATCACGAGTTCAAAAAAAAAAAAAAAAAAAAAACAATTTATAAAGATTTTATATAAAAATAAATACAAAAATTTTGGGCCTAGCCCGGGATCAACCCGACAGGGACTGGTTCAGGTTATCTTGGGCCAGTCCTAATCAGTGCTAACTAGGCCTAGGCCGGGGATTTGGCCACCTCTAGTTGACTATGTGATATAATGTTCATTTTTTGTACATTATAAGTTCATGTTTAGTGTACTACATATTTATTTTCACTTGCAGACTACAATACACTTAAAATGAACATATGTTTCAATAAAATGAATGTACTAAAAAATGGACATGTAGTGCACAAATAACTTGCAACGTACTAAAAATAAACTTGTACCAGTATTTACATCGTAAGATGGATTCCAGGGTCCATGATATAATTTGCCCATCTTAGGTGTTGGCCAAATACCTTTTATGAGTCACGAATTCATGACCTTTCATCAAGGCGGGTCAGGGTTTGGACTTCTTATTATTATTATTATTATTATTATTATTATTATTATTATTATTATTATTATTATTATTATTATTATTATTATTATATATTCAACATACGTGTGTGGGCCAAAATACTTTTTGATAAGTCAGGAACCTATGACTTTCATTTGGATTTAGCTCAGGATTTGGCTCTTATATTAACTTGGTGGCATTTCGTCTCAATTAAAGTCTAAATTAATAATTTGACTATATATTTATTACTTACTCTGTATATGTTATGTCCTCAACATGGTCAAGCTAAGTCTATTGATGTATTGCAGAAAATCTTTTTAGAGTATAAACAGCCTTTTGCAATAACATATCTTGGGATCTCTCTTATGGTGATCTACTTGCCCATAGCATTTTGTAAGGATTGGATTGGCAGAGTATTGGGCATGAATTCATTCCAAAAACTTCACAATGATAATAATCCTTTCTTGGACTCATCAAGCCTACATGTTCCCCTTAGAATAAATGAAATCGAACAGAATTATGAAGAGAAGTTGGGAAGTTACTGTGAGAAAGACACAAATTTAGAAGAAGGAAGAAAGTCAGTAATGTGTAAAATCCAAGATAATAAGTGCCAAGGACTTAGCAAACTGGAAGTTATTAGGTGCAGTTTATATCTTGCTCCCATATGGTTTATAACCGAGGTAAGTTAAAGTTATAGCTTTCTCAAAACTATAATTATCACTTATTTCTGGGTTTCCTGCCAATAGTCTTGTTGGTTCGTTGGTGCAGTATTTGTCGAACTCTGCCCTGGCTAATACAAGCGTCGCAAGTACCACCGTTTTGACTTCTACATCAGCGCTCTTCACGCTCTTCTTTGAAGCACTGCTCGGCCAGGACTCGATAAATACTGCAAAATTTATTGCTGCTGCGTTAAGTATGACTGGTGTCGCAATGACCACTGTTGCGAAAACGTGGGCGTCTGATGAAATTCTGAGCGTATCTGAGTAAGTAATTGGTATTTGAATAGCTTAATTTGAGTTTCGTATCGAGTCATTTTTGTTGGTAAGAGTTCTACTTGACTTTATAAAACTTGTAGTTTTGTGGAACAATGTTTAGATTGTTGTGATTACTTGGATTCTGTTCATTTGGATCAGGGAAAAAATGCATTCTATTATTGGGGATGCTTATGGTCTTCTCTCGGCAGCATCTTATGGGCTATTCACAGGAAAGTACTTTTGAAGTAAATTTCTTATATCATTTAAGTCAATATAACCTTCCCTAGTCTGATTCTTGGCCTGTTGGGCGGAGGCCGGTAAATGGCTAAGTCCATCAATTCATGGCTAGGGGATTGTTGGACAGTGGCTGGTGGAGGGCCAAGTCTAAGACCCTATCACTCGAAAATGTGATGACGGTCTATAAGGAAATAAAGTTGCGGCTTTGTTACGAGCTATAACTTTTGGCGTAGTGGTATGCACTTAATCCTAACAGGTGGTATTAGAGTCAAGTCAGCTATAACTTTTGGCGTAGTGGTAAGCGCTTAATCCTAACATGGCCAATGTACTAGTGCAGTGCTGCTCAAGAAAGCCACACGATCAGAGGGAGAAAAGGTTGATGTGCAAAGGATTTTCGGATATATTGGACTTTTTACTCTCCTTGGCATTTGGTGGCTTGGTAAGGACCAAAATATTATTGCGAGTTCATGTCCTGATGTCCACTAGGAAATCTATCATAACAATAACATTTATTAGTTGTTTTCCTTAAGGGTGCATATATTTTGTGCATAAGTGGTGATAATGTTTTCTTCTGATCCAAATAAATGCTAATTCTTTTGATTTGCTTTTTATGCAGTATGGCCATTATATGTTCTTGGGATAGAACCTAAGTTCACATTCCCTAATAGTGCTTCTGTTGCCGAAGTCCTGCTACTGAATGGCTTTGTTGGAAGTGTTATTGCGGACTATTTATGGTAAGAGTAACATCTTAGCATTGTGCCTTCAATAAGACCTTAAAACAAGATTTGTTACTTTAGATATGTTAAGAGTCTCACATTTTGGAAATGCTGAGATAGAACATATGGGTTTATAAGGTCATTAGTTAGACAAATTATAAATGGATCACAGTCTTATCTTACATTGTGGATCCTGGTCCTCCAAATGCTGACTAGCTAATTGATTGGATTCAATCTTAATGACGTTAACAGGGCACTGTCTATAATTTGGACAACTTCGCTAGTAGCAACTCTAGGCATATCCTTGACCATACCTCTCGCTATGTTAGCAGACATGGTAGTCCACGGGCGCCACTATTCTCCAGTGTACATTCTAGGATGCATTCAGGTGCACTTCCTTCGATTAAACTCTCTGTCGTTTTAGTTATTTTGTTTCTTCTCATCTCTTTTAGGTATTGCGTTTCACCGAGTACTGCAATATTTTACAGGTTTTTGCCGGATTTGTTACGGCTAATCTTCATAACAAGCCTTCCACTGAAGGTTAATATTCGAGCTGGAAAAAACGGATTGAACCCCTTGTGCGTATGTGTGTGTACTGGAGGATTTAAAAATGACTGATAAAATTTATTGTGAGTTTTTGTATTTGGAACAGATGGGAGAACCCAGTGTTAACGTGGTCATTATTATTTCCACCATATTTTGGCTTATCATTCTTGGATTCTTCTGGTGCTAACTTTCGCTAGTGTAGGGGAAAAAACTATGTTATGATATATAATGGATCTTAGCGTTGTATTATGCTTACTTCTCAGTAAGTCATTCATCCTATAGACATGGAGTTTTTGGTTATTTGGTTGTCATATATTTTTTTTTAAAATCGATTGGTGATAAGTAAGTGGACATTAACCATTTAATTATATCTCTTCATGATAAGTCACAACGCGAATCGAGTAAGGGCTGAACTCAGTCAACCCAGCAATGCCCAACAATTGAGATGATTCCAAATGCAACACCACGAAATGAACTTTGAAAGTCATGTTCTTTGGAACTAGAGGATACCTTTGGGCAACAAAAAAAAATATTAAATTTATTTTAATCGTCTAGATGAGATCATGATATAATTTATTTTTAATTAAGTGTAATATTGAAATTTTATAGTGTTGCGGAGGAGCTTGGACAGCCATGGAATACGCTGCTAGGTTTATATAGAGAAATGATAATTTGAGCAATTTAAACTCAATTTTGTCAACTAGGACTATGTGGTCTAATGGTATCCGGGTTGGACTTTCATTTAGAAGATTATGAGTTCGAGCCTCAGTGGAGGTGTTATTAGTTCTTTGTGTTATGCTACAATGTATAATAGAGCCAGTAGCTTTCAAAAAAAAAAAAAAAAACTCAATTCTGTCACTTTTTAGCACGTCTAGTTTTCCCATTCTATAATAAGGGGCAAATTATTGTGTGGTCCACGTGATATTGTATGGACCATAAAAGAAACTATATTTTTAACATATTAAGAGTACATTATTTTTGTAGAGAAAATCACACTTTTGGCTCTTCAATTGTTGCCTGATCTGCAATGTGGTCCCTCAAAACTTTAAATCTTAGTCAATTTGGCCCTCCGGTCAAATTTCTCTCAAACCATAGTTAATACCATGGACTTTTTAGTAATTTCGCTTTTCCCTCTTTACATCCTCCTTCTCCTGCTCATTTTCACCTAAAATCCATCAATTTTCCCGTTCACGTGACATTCTCCTCCATGCCGCTTCTGATTAACGACATACGGAGACGGTGAGAGGAGTGCGGAGGAAATCTCGTGGATCGGAGCTGATACTGGAGTTATATAGAGAGCCGGAGAAATATAAACATGATGGACAGACGGAGGCGTGGAATCATCCACTTCCTCCCTCCGAGCACCATAATACTCGCCACCGTTACCGATGCTCTTATTGGGATAATATGCCTGCGGTTTGGAGCGAAATTTCTCGAAATCGAAAGGCGATGGCTATGAAAGTAGGCATGTTGGCTGGCGGCAGAGATTAGAAAATGGTGAACTTTATGGCGGTGGAAACGGGGGCGAAAGAGAGATGAGGCGCGAATGCGGAGGGAAAATTTGATGTTGGAGTTTTGAAGAAACAACTGACTCATCTTCCCCTGCTTGCACATCTCCGCCGGAATTGGTCCGGTGAAGAAATTTTGTTAGACGTCGACGAAATCAAACTCTGCCCACGAGCCCAGCTTTGAAGGGAGCTGGTTAGAGAGGCTGTTGGTGTAGAGAGACAAGTTCACTAGTTTCTTGAACTCCCCCCAACTCCGACGGTAACTCGCCGGAAAAATGATTTTCAAGAAGTTGCAGACTTACCAGTTGGATCAAGTGCCTAATCTCGGAGAGATCACCGTAAAGATAATTCGTGGAAGCATCTAGACATTCCAGGTTCGTCAGGTTCCCAAACACAGCCGGTAGCTTTTCGGTGAGCTCGATGTTGTAAAGTTCGAGCTGCCATAGTTTCTAAAGGTTCGAAATTCCGGTGGTAATTTTGCCGGAAAGATAGTTCATAGACAGCTCCAAATCGATAAGCTCCATGAGGTTTCCAATCCCTTCCTAAGAACCTCAAGCATCGTAACATTTTCTAGCGAATTCCACAAATTTCCCGGCGAATCCGCTACCGTTCATGTACAGATGTGGCATCTCACTGAGCGTTGACATGGCGACCCATATAATAAATTGTTCCCGAGATCCAAATAATTCAGGCTAACGCATTTATTCAGGTCATCGGAGAGCCGGGGGAAAAGTGAGTTGTGGCCGAGAGCGAAATTCTCCAATGAGCTTCTCAAATCCGGCTGAAATAAATTTGGGGTAACTAAGTCTATTGTGGAATTACCAAAATGTCCATGATATTAACTATGGTTTGAGAGAAATCTGACCGAAGGACCAAATTGACTACGATTTAAAATATTGAAGGACCCAATTGACTGAAATTGACAGTGAGGGACCACATTGCAGATCGGGCAACAATTGAGGGACCAAAAGTGCGATTTTCTCTATTTTTGTACTGAATGTACATTATATAAAATAATGTACTTTTTTTGAATACAAAACATTTTTTTAGTATACTAAAAGTACATTATTTTTGAACTAAATGTACATTATTTTATAGTACAAAATATGGTCCACACAATAATGATTGATAATAAGGTTCACTTTGAAAGGCCGGGTTGAGTTTTGAAATGCTTATAGAGGGCGTCAAAATTAACTTAACAACATTTTTTTAGAGTATTACTGACTCTATTAGAGGGGGAAAATTATGTTGTGGAATCGTGTCCACCTTGCAAGGTGGACATGGTTCAAAACTGTTTATAATTATGAATATATAGTTCAAAAATTATGAACATATAGTTCTATAATTATGAACTTAGAGTTGTGAACATAATTATGAACATATAATTCTATAATTATGAATGTAGAGAAGTGAATATGAAGTTTGTTAGGAACATTGTATTAGGATTTTGATGATACCAATGTAATGTAGAAAAGTAAACCCCTAACCATTAGCTTTTTTCAATCGCTGCTTTCGTCCTAGACGAGAGCTGCCATAACTCCTCTGTAATTCGTAATAAGCTAGACAAACACACGAAAATGAGTTATGATTAGATGTTAGGGTCTCCAAGGCGAAAGAAGACACGAGACATGAAGAACAACAACGAGAGTCAAGAAGGAGTTGTCAACAAACACGAAAGGACAGTTTTGTTAAAAGACGATCCTTATCAAGCATTACTTATCTTCAACAACGAGAAGAATGTTTTACCTGTCTGATTTGACAACATCCTAGGACAATAAGGACTTCATCTTATGGGACACACTTTTCAAGAAACATTAAATGAAGATGTACCATCTCCTGGAGCTAAAGGACAAAACCCTAATGCTTTCCATACCTTCAACGGCTACATGGTACAACCTCATTAGTGGAGCATTTAATGCATGAAGCTCCCCGGTCCTTGTCCAATGGTTAAAAGGTTCGAAAATTTCATCTCCCTCCAACGGATGAATTTTCATCACCTATAAAAACCCACCTTCATAAACTAAGAAAGTGCTGGTTCATTCTCACTCGACTTACTTTCTTGCAAAAGCTCTTGAAACGTTGACCTTTTACTAAAAGCTTTTGTGAACCAGTTTTGAGGTGCTAAGTTACTTGAAGAAGATTTTTGATCTTTTTCTTACACCTCAAAGGAAGTCTTGTCATTTTCTTGAAGCAATCATATCTCAGAGTCAAGACTTCATCGTTGGAGAATTCAAGAAATCATTTTCTACCAACCTCAACTCAGGAGAAGAAGTTGATAGAGGCGGAGTAAACTCGAGGAGTTGAAAAACCTACGAAGGCTGTCCGGCTTAGTGATCAAGGAAGTCTTTGTGTAATTGTACTAAGAGTGATAGTGCAATCCTTCCATCAGTTGTGGAAGAAGAGTGGAGTAGGCAACGTTAGCCGAACCACTATAAAATCTCGTGTCCCTTCTATCTCTTTACTTACGCTTTTCTTTTCTGCATTCATATCATCCCATTTATCACCGCTACCGAAAGTTTCTCTATTTACGCAAACTCGTGCAAAGTATTTAAAACGAATCTATCTTATCCGCTGCGCCAAGACACCGAAAGATGACGATTAGGGCTTTTCACGAAAAGAGTCTATTCACCCCCCCCCTCTAGACTCTCATTTCATTCTATCGGGACCAACAAGTGGTATCAGAGCCAATACCTTGATCGGTAAAGGCTTTGCATTTACTGCCTGGTAGATCTCTTTTCAAAAATCTCCTGAAAACCTTGCATATTTTCTTTGCACGCTTTTTACTCAAAAATGGAAAAGGAACATGCTCATCGCTCCAAACAACTTGCATTTAGTCTTGCTAAATTTGATGACTGGAAGTTAAGAATGCAGGCTCTCCTATGTTCTATTCATGATGAAATGTGGGACGTCATAACAACCGGACCAATCACAGTCATGATGGCGAATGCTCAAGCAGCCGCACAGGGAGCAGGAGCTCTACAGATGATACCAAAGCCGAAAGACCAGTATTCCTCGGAAGAGAGAACAAGAGCAAATCTGGATAATGTGGCAAGAAATATTCTCTACAACTCTCTGGATGATTCCTTGTTTCCCAGGGTCCGAAAGTGCAAGAATGCCATGGAAGTGTGGAATGTCCTAATGAGTTTGGGAGAAGGAGACGAGCAAGAAAAGGACAACAAGCTGACAATGGCTATGAAAAAATTTGAAGATTTCAAAATGCTGCCAAATGAATCAATCATGGATATGGAACTCAGATTCACCAGACTGATGGGCGATTTATCAGATCTTGGAAAAGAGCTTACTGAGAAGGAAATGAATCTGAAGATCCTTCGTGGTCTACCAAAATCATGGGAAATGAAGGTTATCGCAATGAGGGATAGTCGAGATATGAAAACAACAAGCACGGCCAAAATTTTCAGTGATCTCAAAGCCTATGAGTTCGAACACGAACCAAAAGATGTCGAAGATTCAGAAACAAGAAACATTGCTCTCGTGGCAAATCAATCAGCATTAACATCCAACAGGTCGAAACGTAACTCTTGTGATTTTTTATCTGATGAACAATATGCACTATTTGTCAGGAAAATGAAAAGGTTCATGAGAAAGAATAACTTTCAAGACCCACAACGTTCGAGCCACCGAAAGAAGCACAAGAACTTTCCTCAAACCTCAAAAACTGAAACCACGGACT